CGGAGGCGGACTCGGCGGAGGAGGACTCGGTGGCGGAGGCGGACTCGGGGGAGGCGGACTCGGCGGCGGTGGCGGACTCGGCGGCGGTGGGCTCGGCGGCGGAGGCGGACTTGGAGGTGGCGTTGTGTCCCGAATACCTACTTCGGTTGCTGATGGCGAGAGAATGGCTGCTCCAGCCGTCGTGTTGACAATCACAACCGTGAAGAGCTCGTCGGCTGCGCCCTCCATGTGGCCCTCGTAGATGCCGTCCTGGTAGATCCTCACAAGAACGGCTCCGGTCTCGGTACCAGCCGGAAAGAAGACGTTCGTGGTGACCAAGTCATAGTCTACGCCTGGTGTGGCCGTTCCAGCCACGACAGCAAGCGCCACATCAATGTCCACTTCTCCGTCAAACGCGAGATGGATTCCGAGGACATAGTCGACAAATCCAGACGCTGGCTCCATCACCGCCACTGCAGAGGTATTGAGCCGAACGCCGGGTACCTCCTTCGGGAGCAAGACATCGAGCTCGAGGCAGCACTTTTCGTTCTGCGCAAAGAGTGTGATCACCGGATCGCAGAGTCCCGACGACAGCTGCGTCGTAGAGCACGGCGCTGTGAGCGAGCATGACGGCGCCCACCACTCGTAGTTATACTCGAGATTGGCTGTCCCGCACGACGACACAAAGTCGTTTGTCGTGAGCTGCACGTTGTCAAAGAGTGCCACCGCAAAATCGTTCTGGTTGCGCCTCCGTGACAGGTAGCCACCGAACTCGATGACGTTGCTTCCTGCTGGAAGTGCGAGTACAAACGACGACGTCGTCGGAGCACTGACTCCGGAAGAAGTCAGCTCCTCCAGCATCTGCACACCCTCGGTGCCCACAGAGTTTCCAACGTACGCTCCGTTGACCCTCAGCAGCGACGTCACCCGCTCGTTCCTTGCGTCGATCGCGTTGCCCACAAGCGAATGCATAAGCGAGAGCGTGTACGACCCGCCCGAGGCAAGGTCCAGGCTCAGCCGAAACCCGCCAGACATGTCATTCACAGTCCCAACGCCGCCATCGGTCGCGTCGCCCATGTACACCGCACCCACATACTCGCGCGGGCCAGTAAACCCGGTGTGGTACTCGACAACAAGTAGCGGGGCAGACTCGGCGTCCGACGCAGACTCGACATAGCGCCGGAACGACGCCCCTGTCGAAAACCCAAAGATAATTGTCATCGAGTTGCCACTCCGCCACCCGCCGCGAGACACAACATCTTGCACCACAGGCCCAATGTTCGGCGTCTTGTACCGAGCTGTGTACACAAATTCGGGAACGTCAACCCAGTTGACGCTAGTCGGCGTTGGCGCCAGCGACGAAATACCCGAGTTGCCGGTCGGAATCGTGCCAGCGTTGTCCACGTTGTTGGCCCAGATCGGCACGATCACCCCGGTCCCGGTATCCTGTCCGCCATTATTGTCGCCTTCCAACTCGATGTACGCATTGGTGATCGTCGCTCCTTGAGGCACAGCCACATCGTCAAACGTGACTGCCATCATCCAGGAGCCCATGAGCAAAAAGCCCCAGTTGGTCCAAACATTGCCGTCGCTCGCCCGTTCAAACCCATTGTCATTGCCAGCCGTCACTCGAACCTTGGTCGAGATCGGCTGCCGGATCCTGCCGGAGAACACTTGTCCGCTCACATCCGCAGTCCCCAGATCGGCAAACAAGTCTTCCGTTACATACTCGAGCTCATGGGTCTCAGCAATGTCAAACGTGACGCTCGTCCCCGTGCTCTGCGGCGACAGGTCGATGGTGTTTGTCACGTTGCCGAAAAGCTGGCCCGAGCACGGATCAGCATCGGTCCGCAATGCCCGGACCTCGGTCTCCACAATCCGTGACGTACAGCACGCGTCGTCAGTCTCAAAGCCAACCGCAGACGTGCTGTTGTGGAAAAAGGTCTCGCCATACGTGCCAGCGTGCGCAAGTGGAGCCGCAGTCGTTGACACACTCGTCCCGAACCACGCCACAGAGTAAAAGTCATTCGGCGGGCTCTCCAAATCGCCCTCCTTGTACAGCACGCGCACAAAGAGCAGCTCATTGGCAGCGAGTGCCATCGGACTCGACGTCTGTGACGCTGCTTCGCCGTAGGAGCTCTCGTCTGTGTTAGGTTGTGTGTTGAACGCCGCTAGTATGAGCGAAGCCTCGTCGGCTCCAAGCCACAGCTCGACTGCATCGTTGCCAGCAACCTGAAACGTGTACGTGTCCGTCTGCGCCACTCGGATCCAGCCCGAGATGGCCACGCCGTAGTTGTACGAAGACATCTGGGTCTGGCCGCATCTGCCAGTCCCGGGGTTCTGCTCCAGCGATGTCACGTCGGGATCGATGCATCCCGGAGACTGCGTGATGTACGCATTTGAGCGCGTCAGGTCCAACACTGTCGATCCGGGGACCTCATCGTACACTTCCATGACAAGACCTGGCCACTCGTGCGGCGGTGGCTCCACAACTCCACAGTTGTCGTCGTCGTTGATAATCGTCACCACAGACCGTGCCTGTCGAAAGACAATCGGCGACGCACCGGCGCCAGCGTACGCAATGTCCACGTAAAAGTCCTCGTCGACTTCGAGCTCGGTGTCGGGCGTAATGTCGACCGTCACAGAGTAGCAGTAGTTGTCCGGTACAAGTGTGATCGTCCCTCCCGTCGTCACGTAGTCTACCCCTGCCGTGGCCGTTCCGTCAACGGTCGCGTATGAGATGTCAACATTGGACGAGATGACCGAAGTGAGCACAATGTCGATAGTGACCGAAACAGCCCCGGTGTCCTTCTCCAACACGTTCGTGTTGAGAATGTAAACCGAAGGCTGCGGGCACTCAGACAAGCCGCCAACAGAAATGTTGAGCGGGACCGAGACTGATCGCTCTACAAACGAGAACGTGTTGATGATCGCCTGGTCGCCCTTGGAGCCAGACGCAAAGTTGCCCCAGGCGCGAGCATTGACGTTGGCCACAGCGTTCGGGTCATTAGTCGAGTCCATGCCGCAGCAGCCTGACGTCGTCGCCCCGGTCTCGCCGTTGGGCATCGTGATGGGCGCGTCCACGTCCTCGTCGTTCCAGAACATCACCTGTGGCGTAGGCACGCTGTTGAAGTACGAGAACATCCGCATGCCAGGGTAGATCGTCTCCACGTCAATCATGGGAAAGTGAATTTCGGCGAGGAAGACCCACACCTCACACAGGTAGTACCCGTTCGCAACAGTGACACCCGACGAGTCCGTCCCGTCCCAGAGCACTTCGTTGGCTCCGGCGACCGTGTCGCCAGACAGCACCGTGTCGGACCCGTCGACAATGTTGAGGTTGCCGTCGCCGTTTGTGTCGCACACAATCCGGTACCGCCCACCACCTGCGTCCGTGTTGAACCGGAACCGCGGGTGGATTTGCCCGTTCACAAGCGTAGGGCACTCGGAGCCAAAGTCGCCGCAACCAACCGTCACATACACCACGTCATCAAACTCGATCGTGGGCTGCGTGTCTGCCAGCGGAATGTGGTCCGGCGACTTGAGATACAGCGGGATTTCAGGCACAATCGAGTTGCCGGTTTGCGGCGCAGACTTGAACGCCGGCGTATGCGACGCAATCCCGTCCGACGTCGCGCCCAGCTCGTACACATACCCAGCAAGGCCCTCAAACCGCGTTTCCACAAGCTTGTTGCCGAGCGAGGTGAGAAAGACGGCCCACATAGACACATCGGTCGCATCGCTCGCACCAAATGATGCAGCCGCAAAGTACCACTGGCGGGACCAAAGTCGTCCACCCACCAGCGACGACGCGCAGTTGTCATTGATCGACACATCCCACACGTCACCGGCGATCTGGTCCGCGTTGAGTCGCAACTCAAATGCGCCATTCTCGGTAGGCGAGTACGACGCCGCTGCCCCGCCTGTCCAAAGCAGTGTCGCCACAAGCAGCGAGTCAGACGGCCGGTACACGTACAGCTCGTCGCGGCCCTGCCACTGGATCATTTCGCAGGTAAAGTCGACCACGTCCACAAACATTACCGTCTCGGCGCCGAGTGCTTGCTGCACGCCCAAGATGTCCGTACCATCGCCGCCAACTGGCGGCACAGCAACAACGAGGATCGTGGCAAGCACCAGCAGTATCGTCCACCAGCTGCTATCCTGGTCGTCGAGTGACGTCATCCGGTGGCTCTTGCGCCTGCCGGGAGTGGCCATACTTGAGTATGTGGCCAGCGAGTTGTTGTAAATGCACATAGTCTCAGACTCGAGGGAAGCGTCAAAAAGACTCCAGCTGCCTCTGGTTGGTTGTGCCCGCCGTCAACGACACAAGCAAACGAACCAAACGCAGGAAGTGAAGCCAATTGCCAGTGGTTGGTGCTACCCGAAGACTTGAGCGGTAGGGCGAGCCAGCTGGGGAGAAGAGAATGGAGACAAGGGGGTGGGGAATAAGGGGCGAGGGGGGTGAGGAGGGAATATATGCGTCCGGAAAGGACAAAGGCAAGCAGAAGAGCGTGCGAGAGTAGGGGAGGGAGGGAGGGAGGGGGGAGGGGAGGGTTCGTTGGTGATGCGCGAGCGGGAAGGACCACTCGAACGACAGCAAAGGGGGGGGGGGGGGGGGGAGGTGAGGAGAGGGGTTGGAAGGAAGACGGAAGGAGAAGGGGAAGACGTAGTTCTTCTCGATGGGTGGGAGTAGTAGAAGAAAGAGGGAGGAAAGGGGAAGGGAAAGGGGGGAGCTGTGACTGCAAAGGAGTTGCGTCGTGGTTGATGGCAGCGACTGCGGGTGAGGGAACGTGCTGTCGCAAGTTGGCAAGGTTGGCAAAGGCTGAGTGCCTGCATTGGGCGTGGCTGTCGAACAATGGCCCAAACACTATTTTGTGGCAACTCGACAATTTTTTTGCAACTTCACGCTCATGTGTTGCCGTAGTACGAGCAGTCGGCATACGACGTGCCTGCCGACACGGCCCCTCGCCTCCCACCCGCCGTTGTTCGTCCACGTTGATCCCGAGAGAGATTCGAACAGTTCATCGAGCTCAGCGTGCTTCGAGTCGTCACACTTGGAAGACTGCACTGTTGGCTCCAGCAGTGTGGCAGTCCAGGGTGAGTAGCCACACCCTAGATGACGGTCTCTGTCACTCGCGCTTGCACCTCTACGAGCCGTCGAGTCAACCAGCAACTGAGAGTGTGTGCTGTGTGCGCAATCGGTGGCAATTTGCCCTCATTCGCTGGCAGAGAGGATGGCTGCCCAGTCCGGGACTCGGACCCGGAGAAGGGCGTGATGGACTTGGACAATAACAGGGCCATAGCGAACAGGCTCGCCATCGATGACCACGTGCGACGGGCGGCTCTTGCTGCGCAAGCCGGGAAGGAGGGCAAAGACCCGCGACTTGACTTGCGTCACGTTGTCGGCATCTGCATACGAACCGTCCTCGATCTGCGAGAACATGCCCAAAAGGCCAAGTCGGCTCGCATGCTGCATAAACGTCAGGTCCCACGCACCGTCTGATGCGTGCGCGTGTCGTGAAAAGACCATTCCCTTGGCCACGGTCGGCACGTTGGTTGCGAGGAACATAACGTGCTCGCCCGAAACGACCGCAAAGTCATCAACGCCAGCCGCTACCGCGAACTCGTCGTCACGGCCGGCCAGAGATGCTGACTCAGGCGTCTCATCAAAGACAAAGTGCAAGGCCGCGACAGCGGCCGACGCCGGCGGTCCGTGGACGATCATTTCGTCCGAGATCGACGCCGACGCTGACACCGACGCTGATGCTGACGACGACAAAGACAAAGAGTCCGTCTCTGTCTCGGCCTGCAACGAGTTCGTGCTCGAGTACGAGCCATCATCTGAAGCCGACGACCGCCCGCCGCTAACCGAGCAAGAGACCGACGAGTGGTTCGCCTCCGCCTCGCAGCCGGGGCAGCGAACAGCAGCGTGGCAGAACTCAGGAGATACAGCCTCATCGCTCTCTTGGTACACGACGTAGCCGGGGTACTTGCGGATGGCGATGCACCGGAGCGCACCGTAGACCGAAAACCTCGTGTCGCCCATCCACCGCCACTTTTCCGAGTCAATGTCCACATCGGCGTGGAAGGCCCACTGGAGCGAGAGGAACGAGATCCTGCGCTTGGTTGCCGAGAGCCAGACTGAGGCGGCGTCAAGCGGCCTCACTAGGCCGCGTGCCATGGCCACCAGTGCCATGGTTGGTGACGAGATGCCCAGAGAGAGCGCGAGCCCGTTGCCCGAGCCGAGCGGGACCGGGATGAGCGGAATCTTGGCGAGCTCCTTCCACCGCGGGTGCGAAAAGAGACCCTGCACGACTTCGTACAGTGTGCCGTCGCCACCGCCCACCGCGATGTAATCCCACCTGGACGCAACATCGGCGTCGAGACTCGCCGCCCATCTCGTCGCGTCCTGAGGCGCCTCGGTCTCCACCAGCTCCACTTGCAAAGACTGCAGGTGTGCAAGGTCGGCAGCACCAGCAAGAAAGTTGGTGTGGAGCTTGCCGTTGCCTGAAGCGGGGTTGTACACCAGTGCCGATGACTGCGGCGGCGGGGGCAAGATCTCGGCAAGTGCATTCAGCAAGTTCGCCACAATGGCGGTCGATGTCGACGTCAGTTGCAGCATCCGTATCTTGACGTCGTGATGTGCGCCATCAAATCCGCCGCCTACATGGTGCCCATCAACGCCAACGTCATCTTCCGAGTCAGCATCAAGGCCCCCACCACAGGTGGGGACGGGGAGTACCATGAGAGCAGCAACAGCAGCAGCCAGCACAGCAGCCTGACGGCTCTGGGGCGTACTCGACAGTGGCGATCTCCACCACACGATTAGAGTACTTGGAGCGACCAGCAGCCAAGAGGCGACTCGGAGGGAGGGTAACAATGGTATGTCCACCACCACCACCACCACCCGAGCCATCGTCCTCGGTCAGGCGAAGGCCGTCACTTCGGACACGGACGGTGACCTCACGTGAGAGATACATCATAGTAACGGTAGCCAAAGCTCGACCCCGACCAGTCCCCTTTCTCCTCTGCATGGTTGGAGAGAGGGGGGGGAGAGAGAGAGAGAAAGGTGAGCCCGGTAATGGTGGTTGGGTGGAAGGAGGGGGGGGGGGGGGGAGGACTTGGACAGTGCCAACCGGTGGCTGACGCCCCTGCAGCCCCCCCTACAGCCACAGCCACAGCCACACGCAGACACTTGTATCCACCTGTTGGTCACTTGTCTCTGTTGGCAGAAGATGGAGGGCAAGAGCAAGAGTTCAAAGGTATGGAGGGAGGGGAGAGGGGAGAAGGGGAGGGGGAAGGGCGAAGGGGCGAAGGGGGTAAAGGGATAGGAGGAGGGGGGAGAGGAGGAGGAGGGGGGAGAGGAGGAGGAGGGCGCCAAGTCTGGAAAGTGGCTAACAAGGGGAGGACGGGGCGATGTTCGTGGTCTACTGTATGTGCACGTGTATATGGCTGTGCTCGTGGATCCGTGTGGATGATGGCGGGAGTAGAGCTCGTTGAAGGTGGAAGAGCTGTCGTTTGACATGCCCGAGGCGCAACGGGCAGAGGTGGGTGGCATTATCAAGGACGCCTACCGCAAGCACACGCCGTATGGACAGGCATCGGGTCAACGAGACATGGCCAAGTTGATCAAGGAGACTCTGGATGACAAATACGGTGGCGCATGGCATGTCATCGTCGGATCTAACTTTGGCTCGTTTGTCACCCATGAGATGGGCTCGCTGCTCTTTGCCTCGATCGGCGCCACAAACGTCTTTATCTATCAGCACGGATGACCAAGCTCCTCCCCTCGTCGCTCCTGCCTGCCTCCGCTTAAGGGATGGCGCCGCTTGACCAGGCCCTGTCTCTCACCCTTTGCTTTGGCGACGGTCCGTGACACGGCGCGCACTGCTGCCGCCGCTACACCACACGCTGCACAATCCGCTCTGTGATCGTAACCTCGATCCCGCCCTAACACACCCCCCCCCCCCCTCACATACACACACACACTCTCTCTCTCTCTCTCTCTCTCAAAGACACGGGTGGCCCTCGAAAAAGGCACAAGACCTCGTTGTGCGGGGGTTTTTTCGCCGTGTTCCACGCCTACCCTCCTACCCTCCTACCCCCCCCCCTCCCCCCACCCCACCTCATTCCTCACCCCCCCCCCCATCCACCCCAGACCTCCACGCCCACTGCACTCTCCTTCTCGCCATCGCCATTCTTCCCGTCGCCATGCTCCACGTGACCCTCCCCCGTGCCCTCACCCTCGCCCTCGCCCTCACCCTCGCCCTCGCCCTGGTGGTCCCAGTGGCAGGCACTTCCTCGTTTGTGCTCCCGTCGGAGCGGATGGGATGGACCGCGGCGTCAGTCTTTCCTGCGGCCATTCCTACCATCTCCATCGATCTCGATCTGGCGCCTGAGGACCGGTGGACGGCAGCCGTGGGGGACATGCTCAAGAACCATGGCTTTGAAAACAGCTTCGGTCACATTGTTCAGTTCTGGAACAAGGCCCTGCCCTCGATCCTGGGCGATGCTGTCGATGACATTGCCGCATCGCTGGAGGATTACGTGCCGGCAGAGTACGCTGCTGAGATGAAGGGACTCCATGCTGCTCTTGTTGCCGCCGGTCACGCAGATGCTATGCCATTCTCGCGCCTTGTTGCCCTCAACCTCCTCTACGAGTTCACTACGGCGTGCACCTCGATCGTCTCGCGCGACGCCGCAGGCGCCACCTGGCACTCGCGCAACCTCGACTGGACCTTTGACGGCTTCTCGCTTGCTAATCTCACTGTCATTGCTCAGTTCACCTCGGGTGGAAAGGTACAGTACGAGTCGATCACCTGGGTCGGCTACGTGGGCGTCCTCACCGGCATGGCCCACAATGTTTTTTCGGTCACCATCGACCAGCGGACCTCGCACTCATACCTGGAGATTTTGCGCAACCTCGAGCGCATGAAGCACGACGGTGCGCAGTCGGTTGTTCTCGCTGCCCGCTCTGCCCTCGCTTCAGCAACTTCGTTTGATGCCGCCGTCCATGCCCTCTCCACTGCCCCGCTCGCCGCCGAGGTCTACTTTATCGTTGGCGGCGCCGACGCCGACCAGGGCTGCGTCATCACCCGCACGTACACCGGCGTCGATCACGGGCTCTACTGCATGCCACACGGGCGGACTGCCCCGTGGTTTGTCCTCGAGACCAACTACGACTACTGGAAGGCCGCGCCTTCCCGCGACGACCGCCGCGCCGTCGCCTCCGCCGCCATGACGGCTCTTGGCGGGCCGGCCGGCGTCAACGCCACCTCGCTTTGGGGCATCATGCAGACTCCGGGCTCCAAGTTCCACACCCGCGGTGTGCTCAACTCGCTCACCCAGTACACCGTCATCATGTCGCCCACCACCGGCCACTTTGCCGGCTGGGTCTGGCAGTAGCCTCAACAACCGCGTAAACACGTTTCGAGTTCTTCCGCCGCGATCAGCGCTTGCTCCGCTTGAGATGTGCAATCTCACCCTTGAGCGTAGCGATGAGGTTACGTTGCGAGGACACAACCTTCTCGGCCTTGGCCAGTGAGGTGCGCACAGCCTGGGTCTCCGAATCGCGCCGAGTCACGGCTTCCAGGTCGGCGCTCAGGTGCTCGATCCGGGTGGCCAGCCGCTCGTTTTCTCGCCGCAACTGCTGCATCTCAAAGGCCTCGCGCTTGCGCGCGGACTCGAGCTGCCGGATCCGGCGCTCTGCCCGCGCGAGCTTGCCCACAGCGCCGGCGGGCTCCGCCTCGTCGCCCGATCCGGTATTCAACCGCCGCCGCACACGCTGCCGCACACGCGCGCTGCTTGTCTCGCTCCCGCCGCGTCCGTGGCCCACCCGTCGAGCCCGGTGAGCCCGACCTCCACGGCTGCCCTGCATCCGTGGCGGCTCGGGTATGTCCAGCGAATCATCAGAGTGGGCCGGTGACGGCGATCGCCGCTGCGGCACGCGGCTGCTCCGCAGCGGTGAAATGGCAGGCGCAGGCGGCCGGCGCCGCATTGACTCGCGCAGCATCGGCGACGACGGTGGCGGCGGAGACGCTGGTGCCAGGCTCACATCCATCGTCGTCAGCTGCTCTGCGATAGACTCCATCTCCTCGCGTAGCATTGAAATCTCCACGTCCAGCTGCGACGCCTGCTCCACATGCGCAGCACTCTCGTCGCCGCCATGCACCTGCGCCTGCGCTTGTGCCTGGGTGATCCCACGAAGCATGGCGACCGACTTTGCATACAGTGGCGACGCATCACCCTTAGTGTTCGCGCCGTGGCGAGCCGAGCTGTCCGGGCCGCCTGCAGACGAGCCATACCCGCGCAGAGAGGCCATCAGCCCGTCAACGCTTTCCGAGACCGAGTCGAGCTCGCGAGCGGGCGCAGTCTCCGGATGGAGGCGAGAGGAGGCAGCAGGATGGGCAGCAGCAGTCGAGAAGGCATCAACTGGCTGCGGCCCAGTCGGTGGTGCCGTAGCTGGTGCAGCAGCATCTTGCCATGACGACCAGAGCGCCTGGGCCCGGGCGTCGAGGGCTTGCAAAGCAGCAGCCGTCCCGGGCGCAGCGACAGACGAGCCACCACCACCTCCGCCCACGGCAGCGTCAGTGGGGAACGGGGGCAAAGACGACTCGGGCGGCCAGGCTGCCATGGTAGCTGCGTGGAGGGCAAGTGTTGGTTACGGCAGAGTGAGAGGGTTGTCTTGTGCGACAACTGTTGCGGTTAGGCCTGGGGCTGGGCACCGGGGTTGCTACTGCGGCTAGGGTGGTTGGTTGGTTGACTTGACGCAGTCGCCGCGGGGAGGGGGGGGGGGGGGGGGGGGGGGGGGGGGTAGTTTATTGCGAGGGCGGATCAAGTTGATGGACACCTGGTTGCGAGGCACTCGAGGCAGAGGGAGTGGCAGGGTGCGAGCCGTGGCGGGCGGGAGGAAAGTACTGGGTGGTGCCGGTGATGGCGGCGTTGGCCGAGTGCGGCCCGCTGTCGGCGGCCGGGTTGAGCGCGGCGACGGCAGCGGCATTGCGGATGGCACCGATGTCAAGCGGCTGGAGGGTATGGGCGCGGCCATGAGTGTGGCTGGGACCAAGACTGCTACCAGGCGGAGGCGCGTAGTGGGCGCCGGGCAAGAGGGTGCCGACCTGGGCGTGGGCACCCCGAGGCATCGAATACATCGGCGAGACATACGGCTGCACATCGCCGGCTGTTGCCGGAGGCAAGTGGGAGCCAGCCGTGCCCGGCGCGCCGGCGGCGGTCGGAAGCCACCCGGTGGGGAGCGAGGAGGCGACCGAGAGCGACGAGTGCGACGCGTTGGAGCTCGCGGCGCTGCCACTGCCGGTGGGAATGGGGATGGACGCCGCGGCGTGCGATGGCGCGTAGTGCGGCGGCGACGGCTCGTGCGAGTTGGCACGCGCGCGGGTAGGCGGGCCAGACACCGGCACTGGCTCGGGCTTTGACGGCGTCGCGTCTGAGTACTCAATTTCGGGCGTGACGGGGCGCGGGACCATTGCGCCGGCCACAGTACCGGGCGGGGCGCTCGGCTCGGGTGCGAGCTGCGTGAGAATCGGATGCGAGCCGAGCTTGACCTGTGCGAGGTGACGCTCCATGGCGTCACGGATGTGGCTAGCGTGGGCAGGCTGGAGTGCGTACTCTTGCTTCAGCTCCTCGACCACCATGAACGCGGTATCGCGATTGAGGTCGAACATAAACTTGACAGACTTGCGGGAGCCAGAAACAAAGAATGATACCTTAAACTCGGCCATTGTCTGCCCCGCGTCAACGTTGCGGAGCACGACTTGTGGCAGCGTCTCGGCCGACCACTCGAGAACCCGGCGCGGGGAGATCATGTACGAACCAGAATCAATCGAGTCCCGGCCAGCCTTCAGCCGCGAATCGATCGCAACTGCGGGCATGGCCTTTGCAACCGGCGAGTCAAGCGGGCTGGCTCGCGGAGGCGAGCCGGTCGCCGGTAGGGGAGCAAAGTTCAGCTCAGGAGAGCCCGGCGTGGCAGCGCCTGCAGAGGCGACCGGCGACGACGGCGTCCTGAGCGCGTTCAGCGCGAGCGGCGGAACCGACCCGTTGCTTCCGGCGCCGCCGCCGCCGCTGATGCCAGTCTGATACGGGGGCGGGTTGGTGGGCGTTGGCTCACCGAGCGGTAGCGGCGCAACAGGCTGCGGCGGAGGGCTTTGCCGGGCGTCGGCAGCAGATGTCGGCTGCTGCTCAGACGCTGGCTCGTGCGCGCCGCCGTCAACAGTGGCGGGGGTTGCGTCCGGGGTTGGGGTGGCCAGGGCCGGTTGGGCCGGCGCCTCGTCGTTGATGGCGCGCTGGCGCTCCGAGAGCGCGCGCAGCTTTTCCTCGAGCGCACGGCGCTCTTCGGCAATGTTTTGCAGCATCTGCTCCTTGGCCTCTTGTGCAGCAGCGGCAGCAGCAGCGGCGGCAGCGGCAGCCGCGGCCTCGGCCTCCAGTGCAGCCTCGGCGGCGTAGCGGGCCGACGCGCGCTCGCGCATGGCCTCGATGGCGGCTGACGACTCGTGCTCACGGAGGCGGAGGATGGTGGGCTCGGTCTCGGGCACCGAGCCGTCTTCACACTTGACCAGGACCATGACCTGCGGCGAGTAGGCGTAGATGTTGACCCGGTCGTACGAGTGGACAGCAAGGAAGGGCGCCTGCATCAGTTCAGCTGCCGACGGGCGGTGGGCAGCGTCGGCGAGGCAGATAGCGATAAAGTCGCGGAGCTCGTCGTCGTCGACAAGCGCAAGCGACTCGGGCGCCTCGCCATCGTCTTGCTTCTTCCATAGCGCCATCAGCGATGACGCCTCGCGGTAGGGAACCTGCTGGGTCGCCATCTCAAGGACAGACATGCCGAATGAGTAGACGTCCATCTTCTCAGTGTACTTTTGGTTGAACACCTCGGGCGCCATGTAGCCCGGCGTGCCGATCATGCCCTGGTCCTGGTCGGACGCGGTCATGGCGGTGGCGAGGCCGAGGTCGCCGAGCTTGACGTTGCCGAGGTGCGAGTTGACAAAGATGTTGTCGCACTTGAGGTCGCGGTGGATGATGGGCGGAAGCTGGGTGTGGAGGTAGATGAGTCCTTCGAGAATCTGCCGGGCCCACCGTTTGATGGCCTTGCGCGACGGCTTGCGCCTGCGGACGTACTCTGCCAGCGAGCCGGACATTTTCTCAGTGATGAACACGACGCACGCGTTCTCGGCGTCGTGCCAGAACCCGTACAGGTCAATGATTGACGAGTGCTCCATTCGCCCTAGCAGGTCGATCTCGCCGAGAATGGCAATCGTCTCCTCCTCGGTAAACGACTGGGTGTTGACCACGTTCCACGCCACCTCGAGCCCTTCCTCGGTGTCAAAGCCACGGTAGACCGTCTTGAACGCGCCCTGCCCGAGCACGTCGTCGTACCGCTGGAACCGCCCGGCCACAATCGAGCCAACCGCAAACGACGGGCCCGACTCCGCCACGCTGTCGCCGACCTTGTCGTCGTCGTCGCCATTGTCAATACCACCGTCGCCATCGCCAGCCGTCACCGCGGGACTCTCTGCCGCCTCATACGGCGGCGGCGCATGCTCGCCCGCAGGCGCACCTTGACTAAGCCCGCTGCCCGCAGCGTCTGTCACCGTCTGGCCGGCGTTCTGCGCCGGCGGCTTGGCACGTGCAGGTGTGCCCGTCCCTGCCGGTGGAGCCTGTTGTCTATGCCCGCCTTCAGCACTGGAAGCAACAGGCGGCGCCGGAGTGGTCCCCGCCGTAGCCGACGGAGCGGGCACGGGCGAGGCCATGGCGGCTGTTCCTGGCACTGGGCCTTTGTGGCGGCTGTCTTCTGTGCCTGGTAGCACATGCTCCTCGGCACGGGAGCCCATGTCGTCCACTGCGGCGACAGAAAGGTGTCCAACTCTCTGGTGGGCTGGCCGTGCTGCTGGTTAGTGCTGGGGAGAGAGAGGGGGAGAGAGAGGATGGGGTGCGGGTGGCTCGGCCTGTTGCTGGCTGTGTTGTCTGTCGCCCGCCGGCCGTCCAAATTTCGTCCGGCGCGTGTCGGCAGGCGGCCGGGGGAAGGGGGAGGGGCAGGGCGGGGCGGCGTAGGGGAGGGGGAGGGAATGGGAGGAGGGGGGAAGGAGGCAGAGAAGGAGAAGTGAGAGGGGGAGGGGGGGAGTGCGGAGGAGGGGGAGGAACGGAGGGGGGGGGAGGAACGGAGGGGAGGAGGCGGGCGAGGGCGGAGAGTTCGGGAAGGGGGGGGGGAAGCGTGAGTGTGAGCGTGAGCGTGATCAGGATCGGGAGCGGGGGACGTGAGCGTGAGCGTGAGCGTGAGACCGAGTGTGGGCGGGAGTGGTTTTGTGCGGTTTGGCGTACAGAAGGGGATTAGCAGCCTGATCACGGGAAATGAATGTAGTGGCGGATGCGAGCAAGGATGATGCGCTCGGGTAGCGAGCGCGGGATGACAGCGTCGAGGATGGCGCGGAACGTGGCCCAGTTGAGGCCAGCGTGGGCGAGCAGGAGCTGCTCGGCAAGGGCGCGCCACTCGTCGGCGGCGAGATCGGGAGCGAGATCGGCGAGCTGCGCCGCGACAAGGACGGCATCGCGGGCGAGCGAGAGGACAATGTCGGCCACATTGGCATGGTTGAACCAGTTGCAGTTGACAGAAGCAACACGAGTGAGGTTGAAGACCTGGTGGGCCCAGCCCGAGGGCACAAACAGGGCCTGACCGCTTCGCTGGACAAGAGCAACTGCGGGCAGGTCGGGATCGGCGGCCAGCGCGGCGCGGAGATCGTAAACAAGTGTGTTGGACGAGCCGATGCCTTCGCGGAGGCGCGGTGCGGCCGCAGGCGGCACAAGAATCCACAGCTTGGTCCCGCTCACGTTAGCCGACCACGAGAACGAGCGGTAGACATCGGTGTGGAACGGGGTCCACGATCCCGACGGCCCTACATAGACAAACGAGTAGTCAGACGGCAGCGCTTCGGCAGCACATCCTGCACCGAGCCAGTCAGTGGCAAAATGAGGCGGATGAGAGTAGAGCGCAGACGGCCATCCGGCGCGCCGGGCAGCGGCCTCTTGGTAGTGAAAGTCCTTGAGGTACCGCACATCCGGTAGCGGCTCCGGAAGGGCATCAAAGGCAGCCCAGGCGTCTCCTGCCTCCGCCGCCGCCGCGGCAGCAGCCATCTCGGCATCGTCCACCTGCTCCAGCTCCTCGGCATACGCCGCGAGCGTCATCTCGTCACGGCGTTGGTCGGTGAACTCGCGATGGGCGCAGCTCGCCACGCACACTGTTTCGCTCTCAGCGCCAGGCAGCCGCCCGAGTGCGCCCAGCTCGGTCAGCACCGGCCGCGCCTGTGCAAACCACTCGTCGCCGCCGTCAAGAAGGACCGGCTGCCCACGGGCCATGTAGCCGGCCTCAAAACTGCTAGCGGTCAGGGTGGCGGCAGCGACGGTGGCGATGCCGTTCAAGCGGAAGCAGCTGGCGCCGCAACAGGCATCCTCGTCCGGCCTTGCGCCAGGCCATGGGCCATGGATGGCGCACATCGGTGCGCCAGGCTCGTCATACACCACATCGGCGGCAGCAGCAATGGACGCGGCGGGCTCCAGTGGCGGAAGGCCGGCCGGCGGAACGAGAGCCAGAACGGCCGCCGTGCGCGCAAGAACAACCTCGGCGCCGGTGTAGACATAGAGCGCTGCGCGGAGAGACGTGCACGTCGCTGCAAGAGCGCAAACGGTTGGAATAGGACAAAACTCGGCGATATGTTGGATGAGAGGGGGCGGGAGCGTGGCGAGGCTAGTGCCGTCCCGCATCGTCACTGCGGCTAGCGTAGTCGAGTGATGTGGGTCAAGAGCCCTCGCCATCCGCAGACGCGAGAGATACCAAGATCCAGAAGGCGGGGGCATAACCGAGAGGATGCGACGTAAGTGTGGGGTTGAGATTTGGAAACGCAGAGCGGAAATCGCCTTGGCTGGGGCTGCGGCTAGGGAGGGTTGGGGAGAGACGAAACGGGCCAGTCCCATCTCGATGGTAGGCACTCTCGCGCGGCTGGAGCGGAACTGGGGGGACAAGACGGAAGAATAAGGAGTTCTGAGTGTAGCACACATACTTGCAAGCTGCAACAGCTCCCGTGGTGCGATAGTGCTTGCGATAGTGCTTGCGATAGCCAGCTGTCGACTCTGTGGCCACAGTGCTGCATTTGGGTGATCATCAAAATTGCGTTCAATCCGATGGCGGTGTCATAGTCAACATCACCCGATACGCTGGCAAAGGCAAGTCATCCAATCGCCATCACACCACTCTCGCTGCGCTGCGGTCGCCATCACATGCCTTGGATGATTGTCGGGTAGCTTGCGGGCTCTCCGAGAGCTCGGAGATTGCTATTGATCTGCTGCTGCCCCCAGCTCCGCCTGCCTCGCTTCCCCCGCCGCCCCCCCCCCTCCCGCCACGGGCCCTACATCTCGTCACGGCCGGCCGGCTAATCTCAGATCTTGACGCAATGATCATACCTTCCTCTGGACTGGACATGACTGCTCACTCTCATCATGCCGCTACCGTAGGCGCTGGACATTACCGCCTGTTCTCATCACACGCTGCCGCCAATCAAGTCTGCCCCGGACCGCGCCGCACGCCAACCGGCCGGGCTTGACCAACCGGCTGCCGGTGGTCCCTCCCTCCTCCTTCCCCTTTACACTCTGTCGCCGGCGTCGCCCAAGACCCGTCTCCGCTAACCCCCTCCACGAACGAGGATGGCGACAACACGTCGGTTGGAGCAGGCGGACTGGCTCAAGGTGGCGAGCCCGCCGCCGCGGCCGCCGGCGCGGCTACCTCAGCTGCCTGCGTGGGTGACGAGCCGAGCGGGCCGGCAGCCACGTCGCCGCCCGCCTCCGTTACCTGGTGCGGGAATGGGCAGTAGTGATGGCGATCAGAGCGCGGCTGAGGTTGGGGTTGGGGCTGGGGCTGGGGCTGGAGCTGGGCTGATCCTGGGTTTGGAGGCGATGCCGGCGGCGGTGGTGGCGCAGATTGCGGCTGCGGTGGGCGACGATCGAAGCGTGCTGGCACTGGCGGGGACGTGCCGGCGACTGCGGGCGCTGCTGCGGCCGGTGCGGCGACGAATTTTGCGGCGCGGGCTGCCAGAGTGGGAGGATGCGGTGCCGTGGGTGAGCTGGCGGTGGGCGTGGCGGATGGCGCCTGATGCGCCAGTGGCGCTGACTGCGGCGGCGGCGGTGCCAACAACGATCGGGCTGACCATCTACACCGAGATCGGGCACTCGGCATCATCGGGCGCACTGATGATGGTGCTCGTCTGGCCGTGGGCGTTGCTGTTTGTGCTCGGCGCGCTGCTGTTTGACTTACTCACGCGGAGTGGGCGGGTGGGGAACATGGCGGCGGGGATGGCGGCGGCGGGCCTCAGTCTCCCGCCGACGCTCGCCTCGGTCCTGCTGTTTTTCAAAGAGAGTCTTGCGCTGCGATGGATCCTGCTGCCGCTGATGGTGCAGGGCTGCGCGGTGCTGGTGTTTGCGCTGCGCTATTTGTACGTTGTGGCCAACGTGGCCTCGCCGTTTACTCGGCGCGATCTGGTGGCGGTAGCAGACTCTGCGGCGCACGGCGCGATGGCTACAGTGACGAGCTTGGTTTTGCTCGCGCTCAAGGGCGACGGGACGGTCCCGAGCCTCCCATGGTGGCTTGTTTTCGCGCCGGCATATGTTGTGGCGGCGGTAGTGGTGGCGCACGAGGCTTGGCACGCGCTCGAATCGCCGCGGACTGGCGCGGAGACGCGTGTGTGGCGGGCGGGGGCCGTTGGCGCTTCGATGCCGCGACAGCGGCGCCTCTCCAACGCACACGAGGTCATGGGCGTACCGGCGTTTGTGCCGCGGGTGCGGGTGCGGCGGCGGCGATCGGACCGAATGCGGTCATAGACGGTCATGGCGCTGGTTGCGGCCGCTCTCACGCTGGTTGCGCTCCTCAACGCCTACGCCGACGGCCACATTCAGATCTTTGCCGTTGTCCTCATTCCGGCGTATGTTGTGCTGTTCATCTGGCTCTGCGCCTGTGGCTGCAGCGTCTGCGGACGGCGGCGTGTGGAGCACGTCGGCGGGCTGCACGACGTGGAGCGGTAGCGGGCCGACATGACAGTAAAAGGGAGTGGCGATAGTTGAGCGTTTGTGTTTTTTTAGGCGTCCTGGAACTCGAAGGACACGACCTGGCCGGTGAGGCGCTGGTAGACAGCGGAGAAGGTCTTGAGCTTGTAGCCGATGAGGGTCTCGTGCTGCTTCTCGAGGAGGACGCGGACCTTCTTGCCATCGATGGTGACGCGGGTGCGGCGGTCGACGATGACGGCGGGGAAGAGGATGTCCTCAAGGATGGCCTGGTGGACAGTGGTGAGGGCACGCGAGCGCGGGCGGAAGACGCGGACGCCACCCGGGGCGCGGCGCGGGATGGGCAGGATGCGGCGCTGGGCGACGATGAGGATGTGCTGGCCGGAGAAGCGCTTCTCGAGCTCACGCACGAGGTGCTGGTGGATGCGCTGGACGTGCTTCAGCTGCGGGACCGGGACGAACATGATGATGGCGGCCTTGCCGGTCTCCTCATCGATGACGTGCTTGCGCGCGGCAATGATCTGCACCTCGCGGAGCTCGACCTGGAGGTCCTCGTCCTTCATCTCCAGCTCAAAGAGGTTCTTGGCGAGCTCGAGCTCGAGCTCGGACGGCGTCGCGTCCTTCGCAAGCTTCAGCTTCGACTGGGCGGTGAACTGTGGTTGCGCGGCGGACAAGGCCCGTGGGTGAGTCGCTGGGGGAGTAGGGGGGGGTGTCTGGTGGTGGTGCCAAAGCGGAGGCATCAAATTAAAACATCAGACAAAACACGGGCGCACCCTGGGAGGCCCGCACACGCCAGCCACAGCCATCACGAGGTGACAACCATGATCTACCTCTGGGTATATGCCATGCCTATCCATGATTCCACTTCATGGTCTCGTGCGAGGTCGTGGCCACTCGGTAGGCCGTCGCATGGGCGGGGTACCCGGCGCAGACAAACAGAAAATACGCTGGCAAGCCGCAGACACGGGTGCAGGGCCCCGCGGGGCCCACCGTTCCTGCTCACCCCGCCTGCCCACACCACAACTTCAAGCCATGTGCAGAGCATACACAAGGGTGTGCTAGAGGGTGTGCTCGCCGTTGACGGTGCGGGGCAGACTGAGATGCGGGAGGGGGCACCGGTCGGGGTGATGGGCCGGCAACTGCCCTGGCGAGGGCCATCCGTGCCGGCTCGACTAGGGGACGGGCATGGCAAGAGCGCAAGCCGAGGGCAGGCAGATAGTGAAGCAACTTGCGGGGGAGTGGGGAGGGTGGGGGAGGGTGGTGGTGGGGAGGTAACGTGTGCAAGCGCAGAGCATATGCATGGTAGTGGGTACGCATCCTCACTCGGCTGTGTGGCGTACCATTCTGTGTCGTCAAGAGGAGAGTGTGAGTGAATGAAGTCCTTGGAGTTTATCGATGGTCAATGAATGAAATGACCACAACACTCCCGCCCCTCCCCCCCCCTTCAACACAGCAACGAATTTAATAACAGCAACAACAATAACCACCATCAAACCCATGAACGAACCAACAAACGAACCGACCAATTGGCAACCATCCGAATGCGAGCAAGCAACCAACATTCGAACCAACCGTCGTACTCTGTCACTGACAACAATCGTTGTCCTTGACCATCATTTCCATCGTTGCCCACCGCAGCCGTTGGCCACCCCCCCTCCTCCACCCCCCCTCTTTACTCCCCCCCCCACCCCTGCTCCTCCTCTCCACAGCCCTCTCTCCTCAGTAGCGGCAATCCGCAGAGGCATGCCGTTTGCCAACAACAGTACGCACCCCCACCCCACCCCACCCCCCTCTCCCCCCCTCGCTTTCTCCCCCCCCCTCCCCCCTCTCCCCTCGCACTCACCCCCCCCCCCTTCTATCCTCGCCGTTGGCTGTGCGCAGCTATGCCGTCTGTGCTGACGACGCAGTATCCGCTTTCGGCTGGCTACCGGACCGGAGGCAGTGCAGGGAGCGTGCCCATGGTGCCTGCTGGTGGAACGTGGGTGGGATCTGGTGGTGGAACGGCCATGGGCGGAGGTGCGGCAACGATGGGCGGCGGGCCCGGGAGCGGGCAGCCGCCAGCGCTGCTGCACAACCGGCTGTTCCTGGCCACGCGGCGTGTGAAGGATCTGGAGGCGCGGCTGCATGCATTGGCAGCAGCCAAGGGCTTCAATGCCGAGGTTGACGTTCTCGCCAAGGAGCGCGACGTGTACAAGCTGCAAGTTGAGGCGCTGCGCCGTGCACAGCCCAGGGTTCGCGCGAGCCGCGACGGCGGGCACGCGTACGACCGCCTGCGCGAGGCGTACCTCAAGGCTGTGGCCGAGCGCAACGCACTGGAAGACGAGGTCAAGGCGGTCCACGATGGGTACAATCACGAGATGATTGCCGCGCACGACCACCTCCGCGGCCTTGTGGCCGAGAACGTCCGCTACAAGCACGAGGCCAACGTGTACTTTCGCGATCAGAGCAACATGGAACAGCTCGACCGGCAGATGCGCCGCGAGCGCCAGGCGCTCAACGCAGCCATCAAGTCGTTCGAGGCCATGCGCGCCTCGCACGAGCGGCGGCTGTACTCGCGCGACGAGCTGTCGGAGCTCCGCGACCTGCGCCACAAGATCAAGGACATGGAGGCGCGGCTGGCAGGCATGGAGCACGACCGCGCCGTCCTCGAGCGCCAGTTTAAGGTCGAGTACGACGCGCGCCAGGAAGCCGAGCTCGAGCTTCGCTACGGTGTCGACGGCCGCGCCCGCCTCGCCGAGCAGCACGCCGTCGACTCGATGCAGCTAGAGATGCATCAGATTCGCCAGGAGGCCCGCGAGACCGAGCGCCGCAAGAACCAGGAAATTCTTGCCCTCAAGCAGCACGTTCGCGCCGCCCACGACGAGCGCAATCAGGCCGTCAACCGCCTGCTCAACACCGCCACGCCGCGTGTGCCCGAGCCCGAGCCGGTCTACATTACCCGCGACGTCGAGGTGCCGGCGCCGGCGCCAGCACCGGCGCAGCAGTCGCGCCCGGCCTCGGCTGGCTACAAGTACGTCGTTCAGCGCGTCCCGCAGTATGCCTACGTCAACATGCCGGTGTCTGGCACGCTGCCACCGCGCGCGCCCGCCGCCATGCCTTCGGCTGCCCACTATCCGGGCATGCCGCCGCCGGGCATCGGCCTCCCCGGTCCGCTCCCGCCACCGGGCATGCCGGTCCCGGGCTTTGGCGTCATGCCGCTGTGACGACCTCGGCCGTGGCCTCATTGAACTGTTCCTCCTCCCATAGTAGCTTTCTGCTCAACAGCCAGCTTTGTCGCCTCGTAGCCAATTTGGGTGGAATTCCCCGCTTGTGCGCGGATAGCGGCCCGATGTCCGCTTGCCGCGTGGAACTTTTTTTGTCCAGCCTGCCCTCGCGTCAATTGGACCACACCAGACAGTCTTGCCACACTCCTCCCGCAGCTAGTCTTCGTGAAGACTCGCCGACCCATACCAAAGTGTGGCCACAAGCGTACTCTCTCTCCTGCCTTTTGCATCTACCACCAGCTAGGTTGTGCATTATTCTCGCTCGCGTCGCACTGTAACCCGCCCGCTCTCCGCACCACAAGAGCTGCCTCACAATGACTGGCCCCCGCCCGCCTCGGTCGTCCGACAACGCCCACTTGCGGCAGAACAGAGCGGATACGGCATCGGGCATGAGCCGCAACTACGGCCCGTCGTCGTACGACGAGAGCTCTGTCTCGTCCATCTCCTCGGTCTCATCGTCTTCGTCATCATTGTCTGCTGTTGATAGTCGCTCGCACATGCGTCGCTCCTCTCTTGACAAAGCCAACCATTGTTCACGAACGTCAGGCTCGAATTTTGCCGCGTGTCAAAAGAATCGTCAACGTTCAGGAAGGCACCGCCCGCGGACGCGGACGCGGACGCTCTCGACCTCACCGCCGACCTCATCCGGCTCACTGTCTGCGTCGAGCTCGCGCTCGCCGTCGCGCGGCAGCGCTCGCCGCGGTGAGTCGCGGGAGGCGTTGCAAGGCTCCAAGTACAAGACTGAGCTCTGCAATGCTTGGTCTGAGACTGGGACTTGCCGTTATGGCGATCGGTGCCAGTTTGCACACGGCACCGCCGAGCTCCGCCCGGTTGTCCGCCATCCCAAGTACAAGACGCAGGAGTGCAAGTCGTTCTGGACCACCGGCATGTGTCCGTACGGTACCCGCTGTAAGTTTATTCACTCCGAGAAGAGCCTCCCGCCGCAGCCCGACGTGCTGCGCTCGGTCCCGCTCGCCCTGCGGACCACCAAGGGCGAGCTCCTCGCCGAGATCGTCAACCCAGACCTTCCACCGTCCCCGGCACTTGTCAAGCAGGCCGCATTGCCGTCACCGCCGATTTTCTACACAAGTCCCATCCTCGACGAGGATGCCGACGCTATCCTCGCCCGTTACGGACCGGCGCCGTCGCTGCCTTGGCTCTCCGCAGCCTCGGACAACTGTGGCAGCCCCACCGCCAGCGGCGGGCACACCTCGACTTGCGGTTCCAGCGCGTGAGAAGTCTTCAGAGTCCAGAGTTTCTGACAACATCTCTCTCATTCTCGTCCTCCTTCCTCTCTCTCTCCCCCCTCCCCCCCCTCTTCTCAAGTTGTCGTCGTCGTTGGCAGACGATGAATCGCTTGTCGTGTCCGCTCGGCTTGGTCGGAGCCGCATCCCGGGACGACCGCACAACAACAAAAACACCGACCTACTACTTGCCCATTAGCCACGCAGCAGGACGCACATGCCAGAGTCGTGGCGTTATGAGACGCCGAGCTCGACAACAACGTCGTCGTCGTCGTTGTCAGACGCCGAGTCATCGCCGGCACCGGCGAGGACCGGATCGCTCGGCGAGCGGCGAGCGGGATCGTCCTCGGTCTCAAACGACCACTCAAAGATGGACGGTGAGGCCAGCGGCGAGTCCGTATGTGTAGTGGTACGGCGGCGCGGTGGTGCAAGTTGCTCGGGCGAGACCACAGGCATCATTTGCTCGGCGGTCCGGATCATGTCGAGCACGTGCTGGAGGGCGCGATTCTTCTTGACCTCAAAGTCGTCGTAGTTGGGGACAACGATGTGCTTGGGGTGGGCTTGCCAGCAGGCAACCAGGCGAGCATCGAGGTCGCGTGCGGCAGGAATAGTGGCAATGCGCGAGTTGGGCTGCGAGGAGCAGACCTCCTCGTAGACCTCTTGCAGGCCCGACGCCGCCGACATGAGGTGCATGACCAAGTCGTAGCGACCCATAAAGACGTCCTCGGACCAGCCGTTAGCGGTAAGCATGGACTGCCACATGGTGTCCGGCACAAAGGCGCGAACGTCCATCAGGCCGCGGTCGTAGATGATGACTGAGGGCTTGCGGGCAGCAAGCGCAATCTTAAAGAACGAGTTCTCGAGCTGCCACTGCAGGTGCAGCAGCGCCGTCTCAAAGGCCTCTAGCATGGGCCCGCCCTCGGTCTTGGGGTAGCGGCAGCCGCCGTTGAGCAGAAGGGTGGGGATCTCTGGCGCTACATACACCTCGTAGCCGCGGAGGGCGAGAGCCTTGGTGATGACCTCGAGGCACGACGACTTGCCGCCCATGGGCCCACCCGTGAGCACAATGGAGAAGACTGGAGCGTCAGTGCTCTGCTCCATCCGTGGCTTCACCGCAGAGTCTGCTCGCTCCACAGCCCGCCCGCGCGACGCCAGCTTGAGATCGAGCGTGTGCGCCGGGTTCGCCGCCTGCATCACCGCCAGCTCGGAGCGCAAGCGATGAATCTCGTGTCGCTTGACCCTCCGAAAGTAGGCCTTGTACGCAAGGTACGACGCAAAGGTAGCGGTCGACGCCAGCGCACCCACCACCATACCACCAGCAAAGACCACCGGCCACCCGACCCCACTCCGTCCGTCCTTAAAGTCGCCCATCCCGAGCGAGCGGTGTGCCACCGTCTGTCGTCGGTGGATGGCCTCCTCACCGCCCATCCATCATACATTGCGCCAGTGGAGGCGGGGCTGGGGAAGGAGGGGGGGAGGTGGGGGGGGGGGGGGGGGGGGGAGTGGGGGGGATAGTGGTGGGGATGGCAGTGATGGATGTAGTGGCCGTGGAGGAGGTGATGGTGGTGGTGATGATCAGCTCATCCGATCACAGCCGTATCCATCATGGCCGTCACCGGCTTGTCCTCCGCCTTCCCCGTCCTTGCACTCCCTCCTGCAAGCTGCCTGCTTTTTGCCGCTGCCTGCCAGCCCCTCCCCCCCCCCCCCTTTGGCACATGGCATCACCACCTGTCAGCGGATCACCTTTCGCTTCCAACACTCACTCTCATCCTCTTTCCATCATGGCAGGGCATGGGTTTGGAGAAGGAAACCAGACTGTGTTGGTGGTGCTGGGTCCGGGTATGTGTGGTCTTGATGGAGGGGGGGAGGCGGGGGGGGGGAGGGGGGGAGGGGGGGAGGGAGGGGATTAGCGGGAGGAGCGGGGGGAGGGGGGGAGGGGCGTGTGTAGGAGAGTGGCAGACAGTGTATACATGTATGTATGCATGTATGTATTTATGTATGTATGTGTGCATGTATGTATGTATGTATGTATGTGTGCTTGTGTATATAGGTGTGACCATGCTCCTCCACCGCCACTCCACCCCGCCACCAACCCAGCAAGACTCACTTGTATCAACCCCTCCTCCCTCGTTCATGGATGGCCATCAACTACTGCGTGGTAGCCGCCGTGGGCAAGTCGGCCCTGACAGTCATGTATCACTCGGGTCACTTTGTGGAGCGGTACGATCCGACGCTGGAGGACGTGTACCGCAAGACCATTGTGCTCGACGGCCGCGCGCAGGATGTTTACGTCTACGACACCGCAGGCACCGATCAGTTTGCCTACAACCGCGACCAGTACATGAAGAAGGGCTCCGGGTTCTTTCTTGTTTTCTCGCTCACAAACCGCGCCTCGCTCCTTGAGCTCGACGAGTTTGTCACCCAGCTCAAGTTCTGTCGCGAGACCGAGTCGCTTGACGACATCGCCGTCACCATTGTTGGCAACAAGGCCGATCTGACTGACGCCCGCGAGGTCACCGACGAGGAGGCCCGGACCAAGGCTGCCGAATGGGGCTGTGACTACGCTGAGACCTCCGCCAAGACTGGTGCCAACGTCCGCGAGAGCTTCGAGGCCATCCTCCGCCGGGTCATCGCCTCCCGCGCCCTCCCGCCGCCCTCCAAGAAGTGGTGCACACTCTTGTGAGTCCCAGAAGGTGCGAGCTGTCCCCCCCCCCTTTTCTTCGCATACACGCGTGATCGCACCCCGTGTGCACCCAATGGCGCACCCGACTCGGCACCCATGGAACTCGCCCAACGCTCGGCCAAACCACCCGCGAGCACGAGCAAAGCCATCACTCCACCCCCCTCCGTCCCACCCCCACCACCCTCCCACCCACCCCCACCATGGAAGGCGAGCTGGACATTGGTCCATCGTTCACCTCGGCCATGGAGACCGTACTCGCGGTCATGGGCCCAAGTACGTACTAGGTAGCAGAAGGCCGGGGAAAGCGGGGAAGGGGGGTAGGGAGGGTGGTGGTGGCAGGAGGATACGGAAGGACGGCAGGTGGCATGCCCGCCCCCCCCCCCCCCCCCCCCCCCCTCCCCGCTCACACACACCTGCCCAGCCACACTCACTCACGGGATGGAGGGCGATAGTGGCTGTGGGCAAGTCGGCGCTGACGGTGCGGTACAACTCGGGCCACTTTGTGGACAACTACGAGCCGACGCTCGAGGACTCGTACAGGAAGACCATTGTGCTGGACGGACGGTCGCTGGTGGTGTACATCCTCGACACGGCAGGCTCAGATCAGTTTTCATACCTTCGAGATCAGTACCTCAAAAAGGGCCATGGCTTTATCTTTGTCTTTTCGCTCACCGCTCGCGCCTCGCTGCTTGAGCTCGACGACTTTATCCAGCAGCTGCGTTTCTGCCGCGAGTCGGACTCGCTCGACGGCGTCACCGTGCTGGTGGTGGGCAACAAGGCCGATCTCACTGACCAGCGCGAGGTATCGGAGGAGGAGGGCCGTGCAAAGGCGGAAGAGCTTGGGTGCGCGTACATGGAGACGTCCGCCAAGTCGGGCGACAACGTCCGAGAGGCCTTTGAGACCGTCATCCGCGGCATTGTCGACAACAGACCCGCCTCCCGCCCGCCGTCCAAAAAGTGGTGCACATTGTTGTGACGCCACTCTCTGGCGCCGACACGAGCAGCCTTCATCAGCCTTCATCTTCTCTCTCACGTCGTTTCGACTCGGAGGGCCTGATCCGCTTGTCGATAAACGAACCGATGCGCGGGTCGACACACCCCAGCTGGGCAGCGGCGCACGCGTGTGTGTGTATGTGTGCATTTGTTGTGGCTGCGTGCCTTGCCTCAGTCGGCCTTCATGTGGTTGGTCGCCACGCGGCGCAGGCAGCGGATGACGTCGATGAGGCCAGCAAAGAAGCCAATGTGCTGGTAGACGAGGCCGTGCTTGGCGGCAAGAGCCTCAACCCGCGGCGCAATGGCCTTGAACCGGTGGCGCGGGAGCGTCGGGAACAGGTGGTGCTCGATCTGGTACGAAAGACCGCCGGTGAACCAGTCACCAATGAACGACGGCGAGATGTTGCGGGTCGTGCGGTACTGCATGGCCACAAAGTTGGTGTGGTTGATGGCGTCCGAGTCGAGCATCTCCATCGAGTTATGGTTGATGGTAAAGACGGTGCCGAGGCAGAGGCCGGCAACAGCCTGCGAAAGCAGGACAAACACCATCATCTCCTTCCACGAGTCGAGGAGGAAGTACGCCATCGCCGCGTAGTACGCGTAGTGGACCACGAGCGTGAGGACTTCGGTCGTGCGCCGGTGCGGCGGGACCTCGTCAGAACCCAGCGCCGTGAGCAGCGACTGGATGACCCACGAGATGCGCGCCACACAGAGCAGCGGCAGGAACGTGATGTGCTGGTACCGGATGAGGAACGGCGGCATACCGTCCTCAAGCTCGCCCTCAAGGAACGCGTCCGCCCACGCAAGCAGCGGCATCGTCTGCGCGTCTGGATCGCCGTCACGAACACCGGCCATCACGTTGGGAATCGCATGGTGCGTCGAGTGCTTCAGCACCCACCACGTGACAGAGAAGCCCTGAAGGACGTTGCCCAGAAAGTAGCCCATCGCATGTCCGTACCACCGGTCGTCAAACACCTGGTGGTGCAAAAAGTCGTGCGAGAGCCAGCCGCACTGCTGCCAGAAGACCGCAACGCTCACCGCGCCCACAATCGCCGACGCCATCCCGCCGCCCAGTGCCCACATCGCCCACACCGTCGCCGCGAGCATGCCCAGGTTGAACAGAACCTTGAACGTAAAGTACGCATATGACGGCTCGAACAGCCCTTCCGCCGCAAACTCCAGCTTGAGCTTGTGAAAGTCCTCCAGCAGCGGCACCTTGGCCGGATCCGCAAGCGGGCCCACAAAGAACGACGAGAGCATGTCCTGCGCCTCCTCAGAGTGGAACGCCTCAAACGCCTCCGTCGCGTCAGACCCGGCCCACGTCGCAAGCACCCGCCCGCCAGGATGCTCCTCCAGGAACTGCGTAGCATCGTACACCTTGCCCTCGATCACAATCCAGCAGTCGTCCTTGTGGTTGTGCCGCGCCACGTCCTTCATCGTGATCACAGACGGCACAGCCGCAGCACTCGTATCTGTCCCATTGTCCCACCCATCCGTCGTTGCCTACAGTGAGTCGCGTCCGTCACCCATGCCCCTTTTCACCTGGACTCGGCTCAAACCTTTGCCACATCGCGTGGAGTTTTTGCCCGCGAAAACACCAATTTGCCGCCTCGCCCACTTTCCGCATGCTACTCGTACCCATCCTCACAGCACCCTCCTCCCCCCCATACGCCCCACCTCCCGCCTGTACATGTCTATACCATCCTCCATCATCATCATCTACTTTCCCGCACGTTTCTCTCCTTCCTTTCCTTCCAGCCCGCCGCCATCACCACGGACCCTCGCGGCACACGTGGCAGGTCATCCATCCAACCGCCTTGCTGGCACGCGTACTGCCTACCGTCAGCCCGCCCGCCTCCCCCTCCCCCTCCTCCTGCCCTTGCCCCCTCCCCTCCATCTCCCTCACTCCCTCACTACCACTTACCCATAGCAGTCGGAGGCATGGTCGTTGTTCCTCTGCCTGTTATATGCTCGAGTCTGTCTGGAGACAGGGGGTACCGCTCGCACTCACCTTTGACAAACGAATGTCTCGGAACTGTCCCGCTTCCATTCCGTCCCCCCTCTCCGTCCCCCCCCCCCCCCTGTCCCTCCCCTGTCCCACCTCGACCCG